ACTGTGGTATCACGTCGAATCTCTTTGTTAAACATTACAACATTGTGTTATCATGTCGAATCTCTTCGTTAAACATTACAACGCTGTGGTATCACGTCGAATCTCTTTGTTAAACATTACAACACTGTGGTATCACGTCGAATCCCTTCGTTTGTTAAACATTACAACACTGTGGTATCGATCATGTCGAATCTCTTCGTTTGTTAAACATTACAACACTGTGGTATCGATCATGTCGAATCTCTTCGTTTGTTAAACATTACAACACTGTGGTATCGATCATGTCGAATCTCTTCGTTTGTTAAACATTACACGAAACGATCAGTTAAGACACAAATAAGTGCTGTTGAAGGAACTTACGAGCTGACTAGGTTAGAACCACGTCAAAATTAGGTATTGATAATATTGACTAGGTTAGAACCACGTCAAAATTAGGTATTGATAATATTGACTAGGTTAGAACCAAGTCCAACTTAGGTATTGATAATATTGACTAGGTTAGAACCACGTCAAAATTAGGTATTGATAATATTGACTAGGTTAGAACCACGTCAAAATTAGGTATTGATAATATTAACTAGGTTAGAACCACGTCAAAATTAGGTATGATAATATTGACTAGGTTAGAACCAAGTCCAACTTAGGTACTGATAATATTGACTAGGTTAGAACCAAGTCCAACTTAGGTGTTGATAATATCGACTAGGTTAGAACCAAGTCCAACTCAGGTGTTAGAACCAAGTCCAACTTAGGTACTGATAATATTGACTAGGTTAGAACCAAGTCCAACTTAGGTACTGATAATATTGACTAGATTAGAACCAAGTCCAACTCAGGTGTTGATAATATTAACTAGGTTAGAACCAAGTCCAACTCAGGTGTTGATAATATTGACTAGGTTAGAACCAAGTCCAACTTAAGTACTGATAATATTGACTAGGTTAGAACCAAGTCCAACTTAGGTATTGATAATATTTTGTCTCATTCGAAAGGAAGGGAAACTTTGATAGAAATTCATTATTACATATTTGCTTTGGATGGTGTGAACACTACGTCATTCCATTGAAGGCGAAACGTTCATAACAATAAATTAAAGACTGATGAAGGCGAAACGTTGAGGAAGATAACTGATGGTATTCACTTTATACAGTCTAAAGAGTGATGTTGAGGACAATACTTGCTATATATGGTGTGAAAACTACGTCTTGCTGATCAACACAAATGTTGATGGCAAATACCGATTACTTTAGATAAATAGGCTAATTATTGTTTTAGTTGATTGTCCAGTGCAGTTGTGGTCGACTTGAAATTAATTTCTAATTACTACAACATGAAAGGTAAATAAAACATTTAGACAGCTTGTGTTTTTTTTTATCACACGAACGTTTCAAGACCAATTGAAGATTTCGAAAGCTTTAGTTCTAAGAGTAATATTGTGACATGAAAACAAAACATTACGTACATTTCACCTCAGTCTTGTTGTTTTCCAAATAGCTTTACTACATTGAGACGCGGAATAATACGTTTATGTCTCAACCTTTAGCTAAATCAATACGCTTAGTGTGGAAACCACGTTTTTGACATGAAAATACAAAATACTGAAATTTTATCGATTGGAAACGTAGATTAGATTTAACAGATGATCGTACACTTCCTACACTCGTCTTTTTTTCAGTAATCAGTGACGTCACTGAAAAGAAAATTATTCCTGTCGAACTTGCAGTAAGGCCTAAAGAAACCTCATAAATAAAATATTATTATTCTAATATTGTGCAGGCTCTTTTGAATTATTTGATAAGTAGTAATGCAAATTCCAGTTCACTTAATGATAACGAGAGCGTTTTATTTCTTGAACTTCAAGTTATACAAGTTAACTTTACTAAAGTTCACAGGGGACACTACCCAACAGTTTCACTCACTTGTTAGCTTTCTCGTACGTATGATATTTCTTTTATCTCTAGTGCTTCTATTCTACTCTAGCCTAATTTATGTCTTATGCTCTTGAAATCACTTTCTAAAGTTAAAGATGGTTCTTCTAGTCATTAAGCTACGCCATTCTCATAACGTAAAAACTCCCTCAAGCCAAATATTATACAACTGTCTTACTTGAAAAAAAAGCCTAAAACACTGCTCCCTCTATGGATTGTAAAATTCCTTGAACGATCAGTCCTATTACAAAAGAAAATCACTGGTACACTGAACTTCCATAATTACCGATAAAGTAACTCTTGACATTTAAAACTAATATTCATAAACATAGATATAAAAATGTATAAAACAAAGTACAATCAACGTTTTGATCAACAAAACAAAAATTTCCTTTTTTTAACGCATTACTGCCCCTAAACTTTCCACTGCTCTGGATATAATATCGACGGGAGCTTTATGCTCTTCATCACGTGACCAGTTGGTCATTCTCTTACAAACGTATCCCCAAAAATCCTCACGGTGAATGACCTTTTGTTTGGACCAACGGATTCTGCTCTATTGGTTGCCTTCATTATATTGTGCTTCCTTCCTTGTTGACAAGTTGTCACTAGAAGTTCAACTTCTAGTGGGGGTTTCCTGGTCGTAAACTGTAAAGATGTTTGAAGCAAGTCTAATCTCTTCCTTGTTGACAAGTTGTCACTGGAAGTTCAACTTCTAGTGGGGGTTTCCTGGTCGTAAACTGTAAAGATGTTTGAAGCAAGTCTAATCTCACACACGTGCACTTTATTTCAAACACGCCATCCTCGTCGATGTCAATTACCTACACATCATATTGTGTAGAAAAGGTCAGGATGACTCTTAACATTTCTCTTGCTGGAACTTTACGTCCATTTGCTCTTTGCACTAAAATCCAATTTGTTGCTTTATCTCTGGAGGTAATTTCCAATCTTTCATTATTAGATTGGGTCAATTAGCATATTACAAGGCTTCCCATCAATGTATCCTTGACTCGTGGGCTGGTTTCTTGTATTCTGTATTTCAATTGGTGTAGATGAACTATTCTCACCTTCACTATACCATCTCCTAGGCTTGTTATGAATGGTTGGTTCATCACAGTCTCGTATGTAATCTCCATGTTTTCCACATTTACAATAGTCCTTTTTAACAGCAGTTTTTATTTCTTACAAACTTTTATCTGGTATATGTCCCTTTAAGTTGTACCCTACCCTCTGTTCCGTGGTTTGCTTCAGTAACCACTTGTCTCATTAATACATTGTTTTATTCTGGACCCTCATCGGAGAGAATTGATTTATAATGTTCCCATAGTGTTTTTAATTGTTTATCTGTAATTTTAATTGTTTCAAGTCCCATCACCAACTGATTAGATTACTTTAACTATACACCTGCTTTTGTTTAGCCTAATTTGCATTTCGTCCTCCACTTTGGCATCTATGACTTGGTGGTGTGTCAAAGAATCCATCATTTCATGTGGACCATTTGATAAGAGAACTGGACAAGCCTTTCTTCATCTTCAGCAAATTCAGCCAATACCTCATCCTTCCTCTGCTCCTAAGCTTTGTTTGAGAAACTTCATTTTGATGTGACACTCGAAATCTATTTGGAAATTTACTTAATGTTGTTCAAGCTGATTTTATTAAATTGATATCAAGATTAATAGTTTTCTGTTCACTATTCCACCCATTCACTTTGGAAATTATTTCGAACTGTGTCCATTGTTTTTTAGATTGGGCTATGTTGTTGTACTGGCTTGCTACTTGTGAAACTGGAATAATCCAATAAGATTCGGCAGTTATAGGTACAGCAGTAATAGTAGCAGGTGTAAACAAGGTGGGTTCTCCTATTCCATATTGGATGGTGAATGATGTTATAAGTTTAAGTTTTTGATCAAAGAGAGGCGTGGTTGATTTGATCCTTAGATATATCAATTTATTTTCTAGATAATTTATCCTGGCTTTGATGTTCTTTTGTACTTCATTGATTTTGTTGTTGAGATATTTCTGCATATTTCTAATGGCTTTTTCAATCTTGTTGCTATTATCTTTCTGTACATTTCTTATGGATTCTTTGATCTTGTTGTTATAACCCTTCTATACATTTCTGATGGTATTTTCAACTTTAATCTGTATATTTTCCATGGTTTATTTGGCCTTGTCTTTGGTTAAATTTATTTTTGTTCATAATCCTTCAGTATTTCGTTCTTGTAATTCCTCTGTTTCTTCTTGATCTCCTTAAACTTTCAGCCTCTTCCATTTATTTATACCTTCTCCTAGATTTCATTTGATTTTTCTAGTCCTTTCTTCTTGATCTTCTAATGTTTTGTCACTTTCTTTTTTGATCTTCTGTTCATTTTCTGTCCCTATCTTCTTCATCTCGTTTCCGCGGTTTTATCATTTTCTCTCTCGCTTCGAGCAGGTCTCACCATCTTCAAGTTCAGTCTACTTTATTTTGATTAAAATAAACACACTCCTATAACTGTTTGCGTTGTTGGTACTTTTGGATTATTCTGCAAATATAATGCAAAGTCCAACCCACTTAAAGTTGGCTTTATTAACGTTCTCTGCAAGACTGAAGTTCAGAGTAGAAACTAACACAATGATTTCACTAATTTTATCGTAGGTACGGTACCTGTTGTATCTCAATAACTTCTTTGAAACACAAAACTGAACTGACTACCTCGCTGAAGCACAACGAAAAAGTTGAGAAAATTCACTAAATCAGTAATTAATTATCCACCTATAAGCAGCTCGCAAGTCAAATCCATAATCTACTCTAGCCTAACTCACGTTTAATTACTCTTCAAACCATTTCCTAGTCATTTAACCACGCTTATCACGATAATAAGTGAAAATTCCCTCCAGACAAACAAACCTTAATCTACAACAACGTACTCGGGCTATGATGATTATTATCATAATTGTTATGGCTTGATAATACACCCTTTGAAAAATATTTTTATAGTGGTAACTTTGAGAGATATAACCATACCCTTATTTAATATTTTCTCAATCAACTTATTGATTATTGAAAACAAAAACAGTGAAAACCATTACCTGAACCTTGTCAATGTCGTTGTGTTTGACGTGTTTCAGGAGATCGTGATCTCTTCCCATATTTGGCTTTCTACAACTAAAAGTTCTTTTTTCAAAGATTGTAACTACTATTACTATTGATCGTCACTGTCTTTGTAGGCGTGTGAAACTTGGATAACACGATATACATTTCATTACTACAGTATATGTGCATTGTTCTTCAGCATCCACCAGTCCGGCCAAGATGTTCCTAATGTAGTTAATCCAGCTTTCAGTCCGGCCAAGATGTTCCAGATGTAGTTAATCCAGCCTTCAGTCTGGCCAAGATGTTCCAGATGTAGTTAATCCAGCCTTCAGTCTGGCCAAGATGTTCCAGATGTAGTTAATCCAGCCTTCAGTCCGGCCAAGATGTTCCAGATGTAGTTAATCCAGCCTTCAGTCCGGCCAAGATGTTCCTAATACAGATAATCCAGCTTTCAGTCCGGCCAAGATGTGTCCTAATACAGATAATCCAGCTTTCAGTCCGGCCAAGATGTGTCCTAATGTAGATAATCCAGCTTTCAGTCCGGCCAAGATGTTCCTAATGT